CTAATGTTCAACGAAGTGAAAAAATAATTTTAAACATTAGGACTTTGAAAATTAAAATCTTGATCATGTTACACTCAATCCCGCATTCTGATTGGTAGATTTAAAAAGTTTATCTATATTTTTGACCATATCGTTATAAATTTTTGGATATTTTCATGGTTCCTGTAGCAAAGTTCGCAAAAAGGTATGACATCTGCAGCAGGGACGCTAAAATTATGGACCCATAAATTCCATAATTTTGGGAAATCCAAAATTTTAGAAATTATTTTATTGTCGAATTTTGAGCAAAAATTTAGTAATGTGAGATGGCCTGAGTTACGACATTTAATTCTTAATGCTGGCCAAATCTTTAGCATCATCATCGAAGATCACAGTGTCACACCTTAATGTAATGCGCCATAATTATTATAATTGTAGTTAAATACAGTAATTTACAATTAATTTCCTCTACAATCAATTATTCGGTACACTGGCAAATTCCCAACGATTCAAAATATTTTTTGTTATGTAAAATTATATAGACTATCTGCTATCGCTATACATGAGAGATTTACATAAAGTGCATTCAAATATGTAGCACAAAGGAATTAGAGTCCGGACATTAACATAAAAGAGTCCGGCATCCATTATTGACTACAATTTCAACTCTTTCAGGAATATAAAATTATGGCTGAAGGTTATTTTGAAGCTGCAAGAATAATTGCAATCCCATTCTCGAGATTTATACCAATAATATCTGATGTAGTTTCTGTCATTGAAGAATTAACAACTTTATGTCAGTCTGCTGAACATAATAAGCGTATTGGTCTCGCATTGGTTGATAGAGTTGCTGCTGTAGAAACTGCAATTCGTCAAATCAAATCTCATAAAGATGATAATAGAGAATTTTTTAATCAACAAAATTTCGTTGCCATGCAAAGACTATTAAATAATATACAAAAAATGAGAAAATTTGTTATTGAAGTAACTCAATTAAAATGGTTATCTAAATATATTCAGGCAAAATCTATTAAAACTACATTTGATGAATTAACAGAAGAATTTGATAGCCTTGTGAATGTATTAAATTTTACTATTTCTGTTGACACGAAAATTCGTGCTGAAAAAGAAAGTAAAATGTTACAGAATGAAATTAAAGATCTTACTGAGGTAAATTAAAAATATATATTGATTCATTGTTTACATTTATTTATTCATCGTGGTTTAAAAATATTTTATTATTAGTATCTTGAAGAAATTGGTGGAGGTATTACTGATATAAATAATAATGTAAGTGAAGCGGTAACTCAAATAAATGCCGTCAACGGAATGATGGAAAAACTTACCGAAAAACAAGAAATGATTGATAGTATTTTTCAAGATAAACCACTTAAACTCGTAGAGTTTAAGGAAACAAAAGAACAAACTCGTGGGAAGAAAGTTAAAAAATATATTCGTTTAATGGATAGCGAAGAAGTCTCTTTTAAACTAGTGGCTGACGAAACTAATGATGA